TAGTAAAATAGTACTAATCCGATATAGGCTCGATTAACTATACTAGTATAGTTATATATCTAGACCTCTTACTTATAGTAAGTATACTTTCGTAGTTTACTATAAACCTAAACGCTAAATACGAGGATCTAGTATAAAGAGTAATTACTTATATAGGACGTACTAGCTATTATATAATTATATACTAATCTAGACCTAATTAGGACCTTTAGAGGTATATCGACGCCTTATACGGATTAGCCCTAGAAAGCAAAAGTAGGACTAGGTATATCTTCTTCCTTATAGGGGGTCTAATATTATAGAAATCTTAAAAGTAGACTAGTATAGTAAAATTAAGCGCCGAAGCTAAATATATAGCCCTCTTAATTACTAGCGGAGAGGTAATTTAGCTACGAAAACTACTAAAAGATCTTAATTTTTACTAAGGAAGTATAGACCTCCCCCTATTCCTTTATATAGCGATAGCTAGTCTACGATCACGATAACGAAGAACCCTACTATTTTAGGACGTTTAAAATATATCGACGTACACTAGCACTAGATCCGCGAGTAAGTTAAAAGGGGAAAAATTAAGCTTATATATATAAAAGGGACTGAAAACATTATAGATAGACTGATAAAGCCCCTTAGGGCTCCTAAATTTATAGAGTTTATCGTAGGTTTAAACCTTAACCCTAAAATATATAGACTTTCGGTAGAATAAACCCCTACGTCTTTCGTAGTATAAAAACTACGTCTTTTATAGTGTAAAACTACTAGTTTTGCACCTTCCTATAGTCTAAAAGCTGTACCTTTTGACTAAGAAACCTCATTTATCTCAGTCCCTAATAATATGATCTTACGATATGTAACGGCTATACGTTGAGGGGGCGTGTTAAGAACTATGCCTGAGGCAGGATTCTCTCATCCGCAGGATTATCAACGCTACGCCCTTTTTGTCTTTTCTGCCGAAAAGCTCACCTTTGGGGGCCAAATTGAGGACTCCGATCCTCGGCACACAAAGGGGCATAAATAGCAGGAAAAGACAGATATTATCTAGATCTTTAGACAATTCAATACTTCTATGAGAGATCCTATTCCTAGTATCATTTGAACCCATTGTTGAAACCCTACATGCTATATCATACCTCTATATCTTCAACAAGGTTTATTCCTTGATATATATTATCTTATGGGAGGGCATTCCGTCCAGATTCGAGGAGTAACATGTAGGGAATCGTCAAGATATATCTATTCCAATATATTCTGGGAACGGTCCAACACATTATCTGTGACGATAATAGCTTACCACTTTCTCCTTGATCTATGTTCCATATCATAAATGGAGCTAATTTGCTAAGCCTTCCAGACCCGAGCTCTTCTCGCCGACCAGAGCCGAGATTGGCAGTCGATGGACCGAAATGGGATTGGCTGCATGATGACAGTATCAACTCTCGTCATCGTGCATTGTTCTGCAGATATATGTTATGATCGGTCAGATATCTTTACCTAATTCGAAATATCTTGGAGGGGCATCGTATGAGACTCGTCTGAGGGCAGTCTTGGCTCGGAAATACGATGTTGATAAAATAGTCGGTAGTCACAATCTGTGGTGCTCTGGCTGGCTTCAAACCATGTCTTATTCTTGACCAGGCTCACTCTCACTTCTGTTCTCCCAGGCTTATACTTCCGGCAATAGGATCCCGAAAAGGTTGCATCACCATGGTAGAAAGGCTCTACAATCAACGCAAGTGACTGGCCAAGTAGGGTATGACGAAAAAGGGTATCAAAGAGATCTGGAGTTTATTGGTTTACCCGGGATGTCAACAAACACTCATTCAGAGTTCAGATTGTCATTTAGATCTTTGCTTGTATAGGATACTTTGGATTCTTGCGCGTAGCACCATCTAACATTCACACAGCGATATGTCAAGTTCAACGATTAGCAATACACGTTCAATGTCCGCGGGTATATGCAAAACCACCAAGAAAGCCACCGTGACGCTTTGCAATACAGTCCAGCCCGAAGGGCTATCCATCTCTCATCTGGCGCCAACACCGATACCTGCTCCTCGTGTTAGGTATGACCCCTCAATCGCAGCAGTTTCGTTTATTTCTTTCTCGTTCACTTGATACAGCGTTACCGCCATCTCTCCTCTTGGGTCTACAAGGTTCGCTTGCCCATACGAGCCAACAAGAAGAGTCCACAAGCTGCTCCTCAGTGGTCGATTTTCCCGATTTCTCTCGGGGTTCGCTCCTGGCTCCGAGTGAAAGACGCACCTACATGCAGCCCTGGGGCTCAGAACCGGTTATCCATCGGTTAAAGCGGGTTATTCCGAGTCTCTCCTTGAGTCTCTGTTCCGTAGACTCTGTACGGAGTATCTAGGGACTTCCCGCTAGAAGCCTTCATATTCCGCGACTCCACTCAGTGATCCGCTCCGCTGCCCCACTCACTTCGAAGAAACAGCAGAGTCAACAACCTTGGAAGCTTCATCATGGCCTCCTAATGCGCACCATGGCTTTAGGATACAGATGTCGGGGTAGAAGCACAGCTATGGATTTCCTATGTTGTATAGCTGCAATGGATATAGCCGATGAGACGGCATCGAAGATACGCTCGAAGCAGCCGAGAAATGTGCGGCGAGCATGCTGTGAAGTACCGCGTTCTGGTCTTCATGGCATCCGATCGGGTACGGTCTCTAGCAGGACGATGTTCCTCAGCCGACCCTAGGGGCTCCATCTCAAATTAATACTTCGCGGTTTGGTAATTTGCGATAATTTTCGGGCCAGCGTCAGGGCGACCTGGACTCGACGGTTATTCTTCTTCCCCGGATGTTCAGGACCTCGGGGGTATGATGTGCTCGGGTATACGATCGATGATGACATTGGGGTTTGGAATAATTTCAGGTGGCTTATTCCCGAGTTGCCCGCGAGGTCTGGAATTAATACGGTGTTTTCTCGGGATTTTCCTAACGCGTCGCTGTGGTTCACAGGGGGGCCCCCGTCCCACTATGATGATGGATTGCATTCTGCTCATTGGGGCACCGTCTCAAACTCTACCCGCTATCTAACAGCCGTACTATTGCACATAGTGCAAATCCGGCTTGATATCCTCCTCGGACCCCCGGTGTAGCGTGCAGCTCTTTCGATTAGGCTGCATCAGCGTCCTTTTTTTTTGTTGGGAACCCAGTGGGAAAGGGGTGGATCGCAAACAACCTTTCTGCTTGCTGCAGCTATTATGCAGTGTCTTGCTTCGTATCCCACCGATCTTCTTACTGCATTAGTTGTATACTCCGTACGGAGTGCATGTAACCTTTTTCACACATGGAGTGTAGATCCCGTGAACCGTACTCCGGAGACCGGGGGTACTTTCAACATACGAACTAAGAGACCCTGCGAGAGACGTACAAGAACCCAGTGTCGAGTCCAAAAATAATCTGGATCTGATAATCATTCAACGTAACTCACAAAGGGCCAGCCAAACCAAAACCTGCCAGGCACCGAATAATTCTCCCCCTTTTTTGTCCCACAGCCATTTTCATCCCCACAAGGCAATTCAACTTATCCACAATCCCTGCTATGTAACAGTTGAAATGAGTAATGAGAAACTCGAGCCCGCTGGTATTTAAAAAAATATTTAAATTTAGATTCTCTGTACGGAGAAATCGGTGGTAATTACAGACCTGACAGACATGTGGACCGGTCCAGGCGGCTTTCATATCTGAATATCAAGTGCCTACACAAGGAGAAACACCGCCATTTTTCCGTTGGACTATCTGAGGATGGCGAATAGAGTTTCATCCGACTGAGATCGTCCAAATTAACGGCGTCAACAGAGCGACGTGGTTTGTCCAAGACCATCTCGAAAGCTTACTCATCCACCCCGCAGTCCACGGGTCTCGGCGATCTGGTCCTGTGACGCACGATGAGCCTCTCTGATGGCGAACAAAAGTTATGGCGATCTGATTCGATGCTAATGGATCACTTGACATCATGATAGTCCAATATGTCATCGCATCACAGCCAAATGAGATTGGCCAGAGGCTTGTTGCAGTCTCTGGAGGAAGACGGGCAACTGACTATAGCATAAAAACATGCATGATTGGCGGGGTTTGGCCCGGTGCGAGGGGCTTGAGGATGGACATTTGTCTCGCTCTGAATCTCTGGCTTGCATGACCTCCTGTGGCCTGCTCTCCCCTGGCCCGCGGCCAACCCCGGACCTTGGCCATGGACTGCAGGGTATAGTCCCCAAGGGAAGTTAGACTCGGACAAAGGGTTCGATGCGGAAACACCTAGGCTGTGGTCGGTTTGACTAGCGTTTCTTCCCGACTATGAACGCCCCAATGAGGTGGCGAGGATGATCTTAGTTAAAATCCTGGAGGGGCAGTTTACCCCGGAGCAACGGAAGACACTTGCCAAACCCCCGCATGGCCGAACCCAAACATGTGTATGCTGATCGTCTGATAGTTGCATGGGATTGAAGGTCCTTACTATTGATGGCTTTGATTGCATTGGGAGGGGAACTCCGTCAATTGGACCTGAATCGGAGTATCGAAGTCAGTAATGCACGGCATAGGCCGTATGCAGGCGTCAGAAGTACAACGTTGGCGATGGAGTGGTATTTGAGTATTGCATGGTAAGGCGCACGGGCCACCCCGGATATGGAAGGGCAAAAGAAAAGGGAGTGGCACATCACTCGTTCGCTCTCTCTCCACTCGGACTACTAATTGTCGCGCATTCCCAGTCCTGGTGCGCTTGGATTTCTTTTTCTTCTAATTGCTATACCCCTGTTCGCTCATAATATACCACCCTATACCCTTGACTTCGAGTACGTTTGCTTCCGGGCCCCCACTGTCCGCATTTATAAGAGCTCCCTCATCCCACCTTGCTCACTTTTTTTTCCTCTCATTCCGCCTTACGCAATTCATGTCCACTGACATCTGATCTCGCGCAGAACTCATTATAAAAGTCCCCCTTTCCTTTGAAACCTATATTGTTCATCTCTATTGGACTCCGCAATCATGTCGGACGGCCCCATCTCGCCTCCCAAGCCCGCAGTGGTAAGAATCGCCTGCCTCTCCCGATGACTGGAACCGGTAGCTTCAGTCGCCACAAGGAGTCCGTCACTAACAATTGATGGTATAGGTCCATGAAGCACACGATGTCGACACTTTCCACGTCCCTCAGGCGTTCCACGATAAGCACCCCACCGGCACTCACTTGAAAGATCTCGACGAGTACAAGAAGCTTTACGATGAATCAATCAAGAGCCCCGACACTTTCTGGGCCCGCATGGCCCGCGAGCTCCTCACATTCGACAAGGACTTTGAAACCACACACCACGGCTCCTTCGAGAACGGCGATAACGCCTGGTTCGTCGAGGGTCGGTTGAACGCCTCGTTCAACTGTGTCGATCGTCACGCTCTTAAGAACCCCGATAAGGTTGCCATCATCTATGAGGCCGATGAGCCCAATGAGGGCCGCAAGATCACTTATGGAGAGTTGATGCGCGAAGTCTCCCGGGTCGCCTGGACCCTGAAGGAGCGCGGTGTCAAGAAGGGTGACACAGTCGGTATCTACCTGCCCATGATTCCCGAGGCTGTGATCGCCTTCTTGGCCTGCTCCCGTATTGGTGCTGTGCACTCCGTCGTCTTCGCTGGCTTCTCTTCCGATTCCCTCCGGGACCGTGTCCTGGATGCCAATTCCAAGGTCGTCATCACCTCCGACGAGGGCAAGCGCGGTGGAAAGGTCATCGGCACCAAGAAGATTGTCGATGAGGCTATGAAGCAATGTCCCGATGTGCACACTGTCCTGGTGTACAAGCGCACCGGTGCCGAGGTGCCCTGGACCGCTGGTCGTGATATCTGGTGGCACGAGGAGGTCGAGAAGTACCCCAACTACCTCGCCCCCGAGCCTGTCAACTCCGAGGACCCTCTCTTCCTGCTCTACACCTCTGGCTCAACTGGCAAGCCTAAGGGTGTCATGCACACCACTGCCGGTTACCTCCTCGGTGCCGCCATGACTGGCAAGTACGTGTTTGATATCCACGATGATGACCGTTACTTCTGTGGTGGTGATGTTGGCTGGATTACCGGTCACACTTATGTCGTGTACGCTCCTCTGTTGCTCGGTTGTGCTACCGTCGTTTTCGAGAGTACCCCCGCCTACCCTAACTTCTCCCGCTACTGGGATGTCATTGACAAGCACGACGTCACACAATTCTACGTTGCACCCACTGCTCTGCGTCTGTTGAAGCGTGCTGGAGATGAGCACATTCACCACAAGATGCGCTCCCTCCGTGTTCTCGGCTCGGTTGGTGAGCCTATTGCTGCTGAGGTCTGGAAGTGGTACTTCGAGTCCGTCGGCAAGGAGGAAGCTCACATTTGCGACGTTCGTATTCCCTCTCCTTTGCGCCTTGTGGTATGATTTCTAATTCTTTATTTTACAGACATACTGGCAAACCGAGACTGGCTCTAACGTCATCACCCCTCTCGGCGGTATTACCCCTACCAAGCCCGGAAGTGCTTCCTTGCCCTTCTTCGGTATCGAGCCTGCCATTATCGACCCCGTCTCTGGCGAGGAGATTCTTGGCAATGATGTCGAGGGTGTTTTGGCCTTCAAGCAGCCCTGGCCCAGCATGGCCCGTACCGTGTGGGGTGCTCACAAGCGTTACATGGACACCTACTTGAATGTCTACAAGGGTTACTACGTAAGACACCTTTCAACCTTGCGATAAGGAATCCATACTAACGAGAATATAGTTCACCGGAGATGGTGCCGGCCGTGATCACGACGGCTACTACTGGATCCGTGGCCGTGTTGATGATGTCGTCAACGTCTCTGGACACCGTCTGTCCACCGCCGAGATTGAGGCCGCTCTTATTGAGCACCGTGAGTGCAACTCCGGTATTTCAAACACACACACCGAGCCCTAGCTAACTATGAACAGACGCCGTTGCTGAGGCTGCCGTCGTTGGTATTGCTGACGAGCTGACCGGCCAGGCTGTCAATGCCTTTGTTGGTCTCAAGGATGGCCACGAGCCCACAGAACAGCTCCGCAAGGATCTGACGATGCAAGTTCGCAAGTCCATCGGTCCCTTCGCCGCCCCCAAGGCCGTCTTCATCGTGAATGACCTCCCCAAGACCCGTAGCGGCAAGATCATGCGCCGTATTCTGCGGAAGATCCTCAGCGGTGAGGAGGACAGCCTTGGTGACACTTCAACGGTAAGCACATTTCCCCTTCGGCAATCTGGTGCCACTTTCTTGTTACTCTGAGCAATCTCTAACGTACTCTTCTATATAGCTCTCCGACCCCGGCGTTGTGGATACAATCATCGAGATCGTCCACGCTGCCCGCAAATAGAGTGAAAGTCTATGAATTTTGATGATAATGACGTCGGCGAGCAAAATTTCTGGTGAGATTTTTGAATGGTAGTCCTCCGTGGATTTATATACCTCCCGACCTCAGTCCAGCCTCGGACTCGGATCACCGGGTGGTCTTTTATTTTTATTTTTTTTTTCTTTCTGCGATTTTCAGAATCACTACTTGTATTGAGATTCCCTTGGCTCGCTCAGAAGCGCTGTGAATAGTATTTTGGTTTCATACATTTACCTCGTCTTCTGTAACCTTTTTAGTGGCATGGACAGTTTCTGCAGCCAATCTATAAAAGAACTCGATCTTATCCATTCCAATACTTGATATCTGTCTTGATGGGATGAAAGTGCATTCAGTAGAAATGACCTACAACACCTATCCACCGCGTGTTAAATATAGGCCGAACTTGGAGAGGACCATCCGGTTTATATTCCAACCAAACCAAGACGCCAAACACATCACAAGTTGTTTGAACTATCGTGTTTCATGGGAACGAAGCGAATTCCTTGCTGAAGCAGCAAATATACATAGTATACTTTCGGATACTAAATCTAAAATGAGAACTCACTCCTTGCGACTACTTTGCGAAGCTTCCGCAGAACTCTTGTGTAGAACGATCGTTTATTTGCAGACAAGCGTCCTAAACGGGTTGGCTCGTATCCATTCCAGGCACGCCATGGATCATCGGTTCATAGGGAATGGGGTAGGGTTCCAAAGTTGCTTAGACGGCTTTATCTCTGTTCAAATACTCACGGAATAGGGAAAGAAGGTCTCGACCCTTTGGGTTGGGATGAAGCCAATCTGGGGAATATCAACGAGGAGGCCTGGTTTGGGGGTTCACGAGGTGCATGGGCATCGTGTAGTTGTACATGTGAATAGCACTCGACTATGTACATAACAACCTTGGAAGGCTTCCTTGATAGTTCGTAGTCCAAATGGAGGATAGGATTCCATGCCATGAGACTACTGAGATAGTAACACTACTCTCAGCTCTGATGGGTCAACAATCCGATAGGAACCTATGTATGGAGGATGAGTGCCACTTGGGTTTCATGGTAAACAGCTGGTTCTGGTTGGCTCGCTCGTGTTCGCCTTCGGCTCACTTGGGACTGACAGGTTTCGTCCACCAATGAGATATGGGGCCTGAAGCTGGTCGAGCCATCAATGAGTCACTTCCGAGCAAATAAATCGAAGACAAAGTCTATTGTCGTGCTCTCTGCACCGCATTCATTGCAATCCGATTTAGGCAGCGCTCACGTGACGGAGCATTGTGACCCGGACCTTACCTAACACAGCCTCCAGCAAACTTGACTCTTTCTTTTCTGTCGCGTCTTCTCCCTCTCCCCTTCATCCCGCGCATTCTCCTGCTCGCCACTCTCGACCTTGCCATTCAGACTTGCTCTACACTGGGCTCAATCGACCTATGACTTCGTAAATACCCGACAAACTCCAGCCGACATCATGTCTTTCGGATTTGGAGGAGGAGCGTTCGGCACGAACAACAACCAAGGCAGCGCCTTTGGCACAGGTTCTGGCTTCGGAACCAACACTAGCACTGGAGGAGGTAGGTCTTTTTCTTCGCTTTTTGTCAATGATTCCCCTTGTGTATTCGGGGCCCATCCCCATTTCCCTCCCCTGCTCGTGTCCTCGGCTTTTCTCTATCTCGACAACCGGTGCTCCTGATTCCCGTTCCGCGATGGTGCAACACATGCGCAAGGCGAAAATTTCAAACAAAACAACCTTCGCCGTGCCACTGGCAATCATCTGCGGACTATCTGGATGACCTGGCGACACCACAGCAAGATAAGGAATGCAAGGGCTTCTTCGAAACCAAGTCTTTCTGACCGCGATCCCCTCCGTCATCTAGGCTTTGGCTCGACAGCATCCCCGTTCGGAGGTGGCGCCACTGGCACATCAGGCGCTTTTGGCGGTGGCGCCTCCAACACATCTACTGGCTTCGGATCTAGCACTGGCGGAGGTACGTGCTCAACCATTGAGCTTTGCGCTGCTCCTTCGAACTTCCCTACCGAGGTCTCCCATCACATTGAATGGACTTGCGATCAAAATATCACTGCGCTGATCGCGCATGTGAGCTTTGTGGATTCTCTCTTCAGCTCCCGAGAGTGATCGCCCGTGAACCATTGCTGGAACTGCCAATACATGCGACCTACGGGGATTTTGAACGATATGCGCCCGAGGACCTCTTTTCATCAATCTGCTTTTGTTTAGTCGCTTCATTCGAGATTTGATCGTGTTGACTAATGCTTTCTTTTTCTCTCTAGGATTCGGTACTAATACGCAAACTCAACCTAATACTCTCTTTGGCAGCCAAGCTCGCCCCGGTGGATTTGGCACCACCAACACCTCTAACAGCGGGTCTCTCTTCGGTGGTACCCAGACAGCTGGTAATACCGGCGGTTTCGGCGCTGGAGGATTCGGCTCATCTGGCACTCCAGGTGCCTTCGGTTCCAATACCAACACAGCAAACACAGGCGGAAGCATGTTCGGTGCCGCCAAGCCCTCCGGCTTTGGCACATCAACTTCGGGAACTGGCGGGTTCGGCGCAAGTGGTGGCTTCGGAACTCCTGCCGCCACTTCCACAACCCCCAGCACGGGCTTTGGTGGCTCAGGCACTGCCTTCCAAGGTGCTCTGCCTAACTGTGAAGGCACTGGCAGCACTCCATTCAATCCTTGGACCGAGAAGGATGCCAGCTCAGCTGGTACCACAAATCACTACCAAAGCATTAGCTTGATGCAACCCTACAATAAGTGGTCCTTTGAGGAACTGCGCCTCGCAGATTATTCACAAGGTCGTCGGTTCGGCAATGGTAGCAACCAAGCCGGTGGTTTCGGTGCTCCTGCTTTCGGTAACACTGCCACTGGTGGATTTGGTCAACAAAATACGTCTACTGGCGGCTTTGGAGGCAATGCTACTCCATTTGGAGCTGCTGCTGCAACAAGTGCTCCATCCGCCTTTGGCTCAACTCAGACCACAGGTGGATTCGGCTCCACTGGTACCAACACAATGTTTGGTGGAGCAGCTAAACCCGCGAATACGATGTTCGGTGGTGGAACTACCCCAGCTGCTCCGGCTGGAAACCTTTTCGGCGGAGGTACACAGACCACTGGTGCATTCGGAAGCAACACTGGCACTGGAACTACAGGGGGTTTCGGTAATACTGGCGGGTCCTTGTTCGGTGCCAACAACCAGCAACAGCAGAACAAACCTGCGTTTGGTGCCGGCACAACTACGGCGTTCGGTAATTTCGGTAACACCCAAACAACCAGTGCCGCGAATCCTTTCGGGGCTTCAACTGCCACCGCCTCGCCTTTCGGTGGAGCAACTCAGCAGCCAGCAACGACTGGTTTCGGCGGTTTCGGAGGTGCAACCCAACAGAACCAAGCCCAGACCCAAACCAAGTCACTATTTGGCGGTGGAGGATTTGGCGCAGGTACCCAGCAACAAGGAACCGGTACAGGTTTGCTCGGCGGTACCGCGGGCACCACTCCAGCTGCCGGATCTTCTCTCTTCGGTGGAGGCCAGCAGCAGACCCAGCAGCCGGCAGGTAGCTCGCTCTTTGGTCAAAATCAGCAGGCTACTACTGGCACTGGCCTATTTGGTGGTTCAACTCAGCAGCAAAAGCCGGGCGGTCTCTTCAACACCACCCCAGCTGCCACTGGAGGTGCATTTTCTGGCTTCGGCGGCTCGACAACTCAGCCAGCTGCTGGTGGTAGCAGCCTTTTCAACACGCAGAATCAGCAACAACAGAAGCCTGGTGGTCTCTTTGCCTCGACTACCGGAACCGGAGGAGGCCTCTTCGGCGGTGGTCAATCCACCACTGGCCAAGGCGCCGGATCTTCGATCTTCGGTGGTCAAACCCAGCAACAGCAGGCCGGTGGCCTCGGTGGCAGTGCTTTCGGTGCCTCACAGCCCGGACAACAATCCCAGCCTGTCCCTGGTAGCTTCCAAGCATCGCTGCTCGACGGAAACCCTTACGGAAGCCAGTCCATCTTTTCTGGTCTTCCCGCCCCTGGTGGCTCGACTCCTGGCCCCCTTGCCACGCCACTGTCTTCTACCATGAAACAAAAGCAGCGCACTCCCTTGCCCGTTTACAAAATCACCCCGAATGCTGCCAATCGTCTCATTACCCCTCCAAAGCGTGGATACGGTTTCTCTTACTCTACCTATGGCTCGCCCTCTAGCACCACGGGTACCCCGTCTGGTCTTGGTAGTAGTTTGTTGGGTGCTGGAGGCAGTAACAGCCTCCGCGGCAGCGTTAGCGGCAGCATGGGTCGCAGCTTCAGCAAGAGCTACTCCACTAGCAACCTTCGCAAGACCTTTGATCCAGAGGCAGACAGCATCCTTTCTCCCGGTGCCCTGCAGGCCGGCAGCATACGTGGTACCAGCAACCTCAAGCGTCTTACCATCAACCGTGATGTGAGAAATGAGATTTTCTCCACTTCCGCTCGTACTTCGCCGGCTCCTCTTCTCACCAACGGAGATGAATCCAGTCAATCTGCTGACAAGCTGAAGAAAAAGGTCAGCTTCGACTCTACCTCTTCCGGTCTCAATGGCGGGGATCTAGTTCGTGTTGAAACTGATACCCCCGAGCCATCTGCTGAGGAGCTTGGGTTCCTTCGTTCTGTTCGTAAGAGTGGTAGCCTCAATGGTTTCGATGCTTCCAAGGCTTCCGATCGTCCTGAGATGGAGTCTGTCGGCCGTGACCTCACTGTCGTCCCCGAAAACGCACCCGCACCCACCAACGGTGCTACCGTCAAGCGCCTCACGTTCATTCCTGGTGGGGACCCAAGACCTGGTGAGTACTGGATGCAGCCTAGCCGTGCCGAGCTTGGCAAGTTGAGCCGTGACCAGCTCAAGCAAGTCGTCGACTTCACTGTTGGACGTCAGAACTGTGGTTCAGTCACCTTCAACGGCTCGGTCGACTTGACCACCGTTGACTTGGACAACCTCTACACCTCCATTGTCGATATTGGTCTTCGCAAGATTACCGTCTACCCCGAGGAATCGATCAAGCCTGCCAGAGGCAAGGGTTTGAACGTGCCATCTACTCTGCGGATCGAGAACTCATGGCCGCGTGGTAGGGATAAGAAGAGCAACTCACCTGTCACCAGCGGTCCTCTGTTTGACAAGCACATTGATCGTCTACAGAAGGTCGGCGACACCGAGTTCATCAACTACGAGACTGAAACTGGAACCTGGGTATTCAAGGTGCCCCACTTCACTACCTATGGCCTCGATTACGATGAAGAGGAAGGTGAGAGTCTTGACCAGAGCATGATGAGTACCCAGGGCCCTGACCACCCTACTCCCAAGGCTCGCTTCGATGAATCGACGAATTTTGACCAGTCTACCACCTTTTCCATCGACGAGTCTTTCGTCGGCTCGATGGTCGGCGTCGAGGACGATACCTTTGACTTCAAGAAGCGCAAGCTTGTTCCTGGTTCTTTTGCCGGTCAGACCATGCCTGCGGAAAGGGATGATTTTTCTGATGGTGAGACCGAGTCTTTTTTAGAGGAAGGCTCCACGGGTTCAACTACTGAGAATGACGACGACATCGTCACCGAGAGCCACCAATCTGGCGATTCGGTAGTTGGATCAGATGAGGCAGATGAAATGGATATGGCGGGTGCCTTTCCCATTCCTCATCGCACCGTGGAGCAGGACGATTACCAGAGCACCATTGGTGACCTGGACGACACTCACCCTTACTCAAAACACTTTGGCAGTCCCACAAAGCCTCAACTTGATCTGAGTGGCGACTGGGCCGAGCAGCTGCAGCGCACCATCAGCCCTCGCAAGCAGAATCGCGATGCTCTGCGTGAAATGCAAGCAAATGCTTTCATTGATCGCAACCTTGTGAACGACGAATCCCCCTCAAACATCGCGACAGCTCCTCCCAAAAAAGGGTTCTCGAACAGTATTGATCTTATGAACTCTTTGTTCCAGCAGCCACGCAAGCAAACTGCTCCTTCTCCGCTGAAGGCTTCCAAGGCACCGCCAAAGGGCTTTGAGGTTAGCACTCCCCTCTTATGTTCACACTGATTATTTTGTTTTTCCCCCTTTGCAAATTCCATCATGTATCTAGGAAATTGAACATCACCCCAGATAGTTTGACAAATGAGATAACCTGAGCTAAAATTTATTTTCCTTCATTACAGTGGCCTTACAACAAACAACCCAAAACTTTTGCTGGCGACGCAACACAAATGACCGAATCCGACGCTGCCTTCCATGGCTCTTTCAAGCCACGCTGGGGCCCCATGGATTCCCTTGTATGCGCAAAAACCGATATGAAGGACATCATCTTGGGGGTGAGCCACGCTTGGAAAGAAAGCTTTTCTCTCTCCAGCGAGGAGCGTGATGTTGCAGTGATGACTTACAACAAATCTGCCGAGGTATGTTTTGTGTCACTTTCCCTGTCCATTGAAGCTCATACTGACCGTCTCATAGGTGAAGGAGATGCTGGATGTTCAACGACTTCAGTCTTCTATCCAACGTGTCGACGGAGCTCCTTTTGTTCGTCTGGCCAAGGTCGACTTGTCACAATTCCCTCTGTCCCCCTCTAGCCGTTCCCAGTCGGATGAAGAGCGCTTGGTGTGGCAGCTTCTCAACATCCTCTTCAATGACGATATCCAGGACGACATCTCAGCGGGTGTACCATCCCAACTCCGACAGCAGTTCGCGCACCGGATCAAGAAGGACCGACTCACACGTCTTTGGGAAAGCATTATCCGTGAGAAGCATGCCCAAGACGTGGATGTAATTCGCTGCCCCGTGGAACGTGCCGTTCATCTGATTTGTTCGCACCGAGTGGAGGAAGCCTGTAAGACATTGGTCGACAGTCAGAATCCCCACCTGGCGACTGTGGTTGCACAAATTGGTCGCGATGCTACCTCGCGAGCCGACATTGCGAACCAGATTGATGTGTGGCGTCAAAACAATGTGCTCTCGGAGATGACTGAGCCCGTGCGAGCCCTTTACGAGCTGGTCGCAGGAAACGCTCTACGCAGTGAGGGCAAGTCAACCGGTGCGCTTGAAGACCGGGCTTCCACCTTTGGCTTCACCGAGCGATTCGATCTTGATTGGTTCCAGGCCTTTGGTCTTCGTCTGTGGTATTGCACTTCTGAGGATGAGCCAATCGAGGTGGCTGTCGCTAAGTTCCTTGCCGATTTGGCCACTGGACAAGAGCCTGCGTTCCCCCACCCGTCCCACCAGGACAGTACTCGCGCAGTCTTGCAACCTGGCTCCGATACCCTTGGACGCGAATCTCCTCTCTGGGTCCTACTCAAGGCCTTCTCAGTGACCGCAGGCCAAGGCGTCCAATCCATGGAATTCCCGGCATCTCTCCTCCCCGAATCCGTCTCTGGTGATCCTCTCTCCAACCGACTCTCCTTCCAGCTGCACCACGTCCTTGCTGCGACAGTTGGACAAAACCACGCCATTACAATCGATCAAGATCAAACTGATCATCTCGTCTGGGACTTCGCTTCCGAGCTCAGTGCAAGCGGTACACTCGATCAAGCCCTCTTTGTCCTCCTGCACCTTTCCCAGGCCAACGATCGCAAGCGCGCCATCCAAGACACTCTTGCCCGGTTCGCCGCTCAACTCCCCGAGCCTTTCGCTGCCGACGGCACCCCCGACCCGGCATGGCAATATCTCATCACCGAGCTCCAGCTTCCCGAGGCCTGGATCTGGGTCGCCAAGGCCCTTTATGCTCGCGATATCGGCGACGCAGCCCGTGAGGTCGACTGTCTCATCCGCGGCAAGCACTGGAATGACGCCCACGCCACCTTCTGCCGCATTGTCGGCCCAAGCACCATCATTGAAGGCGACTACCGTACCCTCGAAGCTCTGGTTTCTGGCTTCGGCGACGGACCCGAGCGTAAAATGCGCGGCTGGGCTTCTGGCGGCGGTGTTTACGAAGATTTCCTCCGCCTGGTCAACGCCACCACCGGCCGTCGCGACCCAACCCGTCTCAACCGGTTGGTGAGTGCTCTTGTTGCCATGGGTGATCGCGTCCAGGGAACCGGATTGGAAGGATTGGAGGAGCGTGTTGCATTCAAGGAGATGAGCCGAGCTGTTGCCAGTTGGATTACGAATGAGGATGTTCAAGTGAGTTGCCTCCATTTTTTCTGTTATGTCTTATTCATTACTGACTCCCCATCTTTCTACAGACCGTTGAATCGTCTGCTGTTCTGAGCCTGCCTTTGACTGGTGATGCTCGCGTTTTGCAGACCGCGGAAATGAGCCGTCGCTACTACGGCGTCATCATGGCGGGTGGTCATTGAGTTCGAAGAAACAACATATTGCAGTTTGCGAGGAATTAGTTGGCGCTTTAAATGCCCCAAACATCCTCGATGTTTTCTTTTTGTTCTTTTGCCTTTTTTTTCGTGTTCTTGTGTCCCTCCCCCCCATGATCTCAAATGGTTCCCATGACTCTGTATTGTACTCTACCCTATTGCTGAAACCTATTTGAGCCAATTCATTCCGTCATTTCCATTTCCTGTAGATGTAGCAAAGGAACCATATTGTTTCTCCTTGTAGTTACTCGCTGCGCTCATTGGCTGTCAGATGTTCACGGGCTCAGTTTAAGCTTCTCTGTGCTCGCATATCGGAGGATTCTGGGTAATCGGTATATTGTTTGTGAGTCATATTGTTCTGGTCTGTTGTATATCGAACTTGCAAGCTTGATTTATTTCTTCTGGGACTGTTATGCAAAGTTGGTGTGAATATCCTCTGTTATCTTCAACTTACTTGATATATCTTGCCTGTATATATACTCCAATACATAACAATGAGAATAGGATGAGTTACCTTTTAGATAAAATATTCTTCTAAGGCAATTCTATACCCTTGATTTTAGGCCTGAATCTCTGTCCTCCCATTCCCTAAGTTAAAAAAATACATGGCTATAGAAAGCCTTGTGGTACGCAGAACAGACACTCTCCATTCTATCGGATGCACTTGACAGGGTTGTACGAGGCCTCACCCTGCTGATTCCAAATCCCTCAAGCCCACCGGGGCAGCTCTGGACTCGTGTGTTCCTGTGGCGTGCGACACACCGTGGAAGTGGGTGTAGGCACGAGTCTGCGGAAGGAGCTTTGGGGCCATGACATCTCCAATCCAATTGCTTGGTCTCTTCCTCTTCTCTCATACTCCCACTGGTATTTATCTGCTATAGAAACGCTTGGTTTAACTTGGTTATCCTTTCTTGAGATGGAACTACAAGAACCTCCGAAAGGAACTCATCAGACAGTGACAGTGCCGGGTCCCTATGCCCATGTCCCGGCAACCAATTTGACGAGAGTCGACAGTGGGTATGGAGAAGCCTTGAATGAAGTACTCCATGCATCAGCAGCCATACAGACATGCCCCAGTGACAATGACAACGTTCACGGTGAGCCTGGGTCTGCCACCGAAGCGCAAATGGATACTCCAGGGACTATACCGAATAATCCCCAGCGATTCTCAGCATTTACCAAACGCCAGAAGCTGTTCATTGTGACAATGGTATCCCTGGCTTCATTCTTTTCCCCGCTGTCCGGCCAAATCTACTACCCCGTCATGCCCACATTGGTGCGAAACTACCACCTCACCACCGAGCTAATCAACCTCACAATCACAACCTACATGGTCCTCCAAGGTCTCGCCCCAAGCTTTATAGGCACATTCGCCGACACCGGCGGCAGACGGCCTGCATATATCATCGCATTCACAATCTATACTGCCGCCAACATCGGGCTCGCACTGCAAAACAATTTTGCGGCATTGCTGGTCCTTCGCTGTCTCCAGAGCGCAGGGAGCAGCGGCACAGTGGCTTTCGGATACGGTGTTGTAGCGGATATTTCAACTGCAGCAGAGCGGGGGAAGTATATCGGCCCCATGGCTGCTGGGGTTATGGTTGCGCCTGCGCTGGGTCCTGTTATCGGTGGTCTGTTGGCGAAGTTTCTTGGCTGGCGCAGTGTCTTCTGGTTCCTGGTTATCATCAGTGGTGGGTATCTGGTCTTTTATGTGATCTTTATGCCAGAGACGGCGCGCAAAATTGTGGGTAATGGCAGTGCAGTGCCGGATGAGTGGTGGCGCAGGTCTGTGATTCAATGGTGGTCGAAGAGACAGGCGCAGTCGGATGAGGAAGGTCAAGCTGATGCACGAGGACTTCAGCAACAGTCCCGGCAGACAAAGAGACTGAGCTTTCCGAATCCGCTTAAGTCTTTTGTCATTTTGTTGGAGTGGGATGCTTTGATTATCATCTCGTACGTCGGCATGGTCATGTTTGCAAATGTTGTTCTGTTGACGAGTACTCCCAATCTTTTCGGGCCGTTGTATGGATTCAACGAACTACAGATTGGTCTCTGTTTCTTGTGAGTATCTTTTCTTTCCCTTGTTGTCCATCGTTCGGCCTCGGGGTCCACTGGCTAACACATACCCTCAGGCCGCTCGGAGTAAGCTCCTGCCTCGGTGCCATTCTCTATGGGAAAGTCATCGACTACAATTACAAACGGACGGCTGAAAAACTCGGCCTTCCAGTAGACCGAAAGAAAGGAGACGATCTGCGCAGATTCCCCATCGAGCGCACTCGTCTACGGGCAGTATTCCCCGTGATGGCCGTCGGCATTGCAGCTTTCATCCCATATGGCTGGGTTCTGCAACAACGAGTACATCTCGCTGCCCCCCTTGTGCTGCAGTTCATCATAGGGTTCTGCTTCATCGCATCTTTGAATGGCCTCAATACTCTCCTTGTCGACCTATTCCCAGACAGGCCTGCTACAGCTGCGGCGGCGTGCAATTTTGTTCGTTGCTGTCTCGGTGCCATTGGCGCTGCGCTTGTTAGTCGGATGCTGAGTGGGATGGGGTGGGGTTGGTGCTTTGTTTTCCTGGGGCTGGTCATGGGTGTTGGGATGGGGTTGCTTTGGGTTGAGATGGTGTATGGAATGGGTTGGAGAGAGAAGAGGTTGCTTAAGATTGAACGGAAGAATGCGGAGAAAGAGGCCGGGGCTTCGACTCAGATACAGGCGGAGGGAAAGACTCATGAGAGCGAATTGAAGGATATCAATATTCGGGAATCGGTCGCTGATGCCGAGGCAGAGGTTGGGAGGAATTGAGATACGAGAGATCATTGCTGCGTTTTTGTGAAGTAGACTTTTGCTGTTATTGTATTCGATAGCTTGTGAGAATGAAACTAATCGGTCTAGTGGAACTGGAGGAAATAAGGATTTGCTACATAGCACCAATGGAGACATCAAATGCATCAAATTTGCTACCGACTGTACAATAAAGGGAAACCTAGGCGCGACAGAGGAACACGAGGGGATCGAGCAGAGTAAAAGAAAAGAGAAACACCACCCTCCCCGGTCGGACCAGACAGGCAAGAAACAAAAGAACATTACCGGCCGGGGTGGGCAGGGAGATATAAGAGAGGTCTAGATGTGACAATCATCCCCGACCCGTTCCTGCTTCTTTTTGAGGGGGCGACGGATAAAAAAAAATTGGTTGTAGATGGGGAAAGGGAAAGATGGAGGGGATGCGTTTACATGCCAGGGGAGATCAGCTTGCCCTCAGCACGGCTGTTGGGGTGCCAGCCACCGGCGAAGGGAGCAGCGCCGAGCTCCTTCTCGTACTGGCGGATGCGGGCCTCCAGCTCGGGACGGAAGTGACGGATCAGACCCTGGATGGGCCAGGCGAAGGCCTCACCCAGAGCACAGATGGTGTGGCCCTCGACCTGCTTGGTGAGCTCCTGGAGCATGTCGATTTCACGCTCGCGGGCATTGCCGGTCTCGAGACGCTGCATCATCTGCATGGTCCACTTGCTGCCCTCGCGGCAGGGGGTGCACTGGCCGCAGGACTCGTGCTTGTAGAAGGTGGACAGGCGGGAGATGGCGCGGACGATATCTGTGGACTTATCCATGACGATGACGGCAGCTGTGCCCAGACCGGTCTGGGAGTCCTTGAGGGCATCGAAGTCCATGAGCTGGTTGTCGGCGACGGACTTGGGGATGACGGGGGTAGACGAGCCACCGGGGATGACGGCGAGCAGGTTGTCCCAACCACCACGGACACCTCCACAGTGTCTCTCGATAAGTTCGCGCAGTGAGATGGACATCTCCTCCTCTACTGTGACGGGGTTGTTGACGTGACCGGAGATACAGAAGAGCTTAGTACCGGCGTTACGCTCACGGCCGAAGGACGAGAACCAGCTGGCACCACGGCGCATGATCGTGGGGGTCACGGCAACGGTCTCGACGTTGGTGACTGTGCTGGGGCAACCGAACAGACCGACAGCGGCGGGGAAGGGGGGCTTGAGACGGGGCTTGCCGGCCTTACCCTCAATGGACTCGATGAGAGAGGTCTCCTCACCACAAATGTAGGCGCCCATTCCGCGGTGAATGTACACATCGAAGTCGTATCCGGAACCGCAGGCGTTCTTGCCGATCAGGCCGGCCTCGTAAGCCTCGTTGATGGCACGCTGGAGGACAGTAGCCTCGTGGTAGAACTCGCCACGAATGTAAATGTAAGCGGCATTGGCGTTCATCGCACGACCCACCACCAAGCAACCCTCGATCAGCTTCTGGGGGTCCTTGCGCATAATCTCGCGATCCTTGCAAGTACCAGGCTCACCCTCATCTGCGTTGACAACCAGATAACGGGGGCGGGGATCCTTGTCCCAATCCTTGGTGTTCATGAAAGACTATCAAGTAGCAGGTCAGCCCGAGGTATCCCAAAACACTCGCATCCGCCCGAATTGCGTGCAAGGCACTTACGTATTTCAATCCTGAAGGGAAACCAGCACCACCACGACCACGGAGGCCTGATGCCTTGATTTCCGAGATGAGCTATTCATAGCATTAGCAATTGGTAATTTCCTCCCCGTCGATTGTGCGACAACCCACCCAATCATCACCCTTCAGAATCATGTCCTTGGTCCGGTACCAGTCACCATACTTCATTGATGACTTCAAGTCCGTTCCATGGTGTTCGTAGAGGTTGGTGAAGATTCGATCTTGATCCTTAAGTCCGCCATAGTGCTTCACGGGAGGAGCCTCCGACACGGTTGCGAAGGAGCGGGCGGCCGCCCCCTGGGCGCGGAGGGAGCGGGTCGAGAGGTAGGAGAGGGAGGAGGTCGAGGGAGCCGCCGCTCTGGATATCATGATGACGGCGGGGGTGACAATGCGTGGGGAGGGTCAAAGGGTCGTGTAGAGAGAGGGAAGGGAGTCGTGGAGCTCACGGCAATTCCTGCGTTTGCTGAATGATCCGCCTTTGGCCTCGATTTGATTGGGTGGAAGCCCCACACGTGATTGGATATCTGAGTCAGCAATCCTGATTGGGTCATGACGACCTCAAGTATGTCCCATCACGTGACTCATGTACAAGGAGATATGATCGGTTCAATGCCCTCGTTCTTTCGAGCTATCATGTTTTTGAATATCAATTTGAGGTCATTTGTCATTCCTTATGGCGCGATTAACTTTTTTCCCTTTTATCTGCCGTGTGGTTCCTCATATTATCGCTAGGAACTAGAACGGCGAGTTAGACCAGACTCAATTCAAGAGGAACTCTGTCATTCCTATATCTATTCGTCTTTATTTACTCTTGCGGTACATAGAGACATGCCTGTTTCAGCATAGACATTGATCCCTCCATCTTGAGAATCTCAAACGGCTCAAGCGGAATCATCACCATTTCGGCGCCTGCCACTGTCCATGCCCATTGTAGCCAGTTCGCGTCCAACCACCCAGAGTTTTCAGTGAGCCAATTCACTCCATCGCCAGATGCCCATGAAGCTGGCTGTTCAGCTTTAGTGTACTCTTGGAATAGATGAAGTGGCTCGCTTGTTTGATCAACGCCAGATTCAACAAATCCAGAAGTAGAGGGTGCTGGGTATTGTTCAAGCAGGAACCCAATCCAACGGCTGAGGCGCGACGGCAATCTTGAGCGAGCCTCGGGTGAGTTATATGTCGCAGCCAACAAGCAGATGACCGTAGCAAACAGAGTCTGTGGGTCTGTCGCCATACTCGGGACAGCCTGGCTGGCTACTCCGAGGATATGTTGGAAGCACATCTGACTTGGTGCCTGCATTTCTGCTGGTAGGAGGCTGAAAAGCTCACCTAGTCTGAAAAGTTCACCATTCTTAGTGATGAGTGACGGACGCTCCAAGATCCGCACTCGGACCCGGGACAAGACATCGTCAGAGAGAAGACCGGCTGGGAAGCGTTGCATCATTTCATGGAGGAGAACTTTGATGTCCTCCCAGCTTTCACCACGCTGGTGTTCTCTGCCGCGTGTGATGCTCCAGGTGGCGATGATCAAGGCGGCTTCATCTAATGTGATTTGGCCGTTGCGATAGATCTGAGAGTGGATGTGGTTCAAGTTGCTTGGCTGCTCAGGCAGATCTTCTGCGCTAGCTTTCAAGTTCAGAGAATGAGCTATGAGCTCAAAGCTGATCTGTGCAAGGGCGGCGTAGACACTATGGCCATTTCCATATCCCGGGGTGATGCGAATGCAATGCTCGGTAATCTCGAGCGATTTTCGCTCGCGCGCGTTTGATTCCATAACCGTCAATGCGTTGAACAATGCCGGTGAGAAGATCGAGTGCTCCATTGTGGTCTCCGGAGCCAACAGAGGATAATAAGGATTGAAGATGTAATAGTGGTCCTCGACATTCTTCGCAACCTGAGGGAAGAGTTCTAGCTGGCGAGCCTTGGCCTGGCCGAGCGAACTGTCGGGTTTCACGCCGAGATGAACGATGCGATAGTCAGTCGGGTTTCCGGCGATGCAGAATCCATAGTTCATCAACACTGGTCTATAGTTAGTCTCTAGTCGAACAGCCATGACAAACATGATACTTACATTGCTCATTATTGCGAGGACCATAGTTGTTAGAAATCTCTTGGCCTGGAGCAACATCCTCAAGCACAAGAAGACCGATGTCTTTCTCGCCTGCCCGCCACTCAACCTTTGCCATTGGTCTGTGGTTTGGAAGATCAATGAGCGGGAGCAGCACAGACACTCCGTCTTCTGGGAGGTCTGAAGGCTGGATAACCCCAGATAGAACCTTTGCCGAGAATGCACGGGAAGTAATGATAGTCGAAGCCCAAAGATACAGCTCCCTATCTCCACAGTCAGCATTACAATTCCCAAGACTAACAAAAGAGGAAGGAAAAGAACAAAAGACCACACTTACCAAGTAAACCGATCACAGTCCAGGAAACCCAACTCTTCCAACAACTTAATCGATTCATCATACTTCTTTTCCCACACCTTGATTCTCTCAACCGAAGCCTCAGGAATACCAGTACCCTGAAGCCAATCCACATCCTCCTCACCAAAGAACAGAGGAGTAGTCAATTGACCCGGCTGAGGCAGAGTCCGCAAATACGGATGCCAGAATCCCTCAGCTCCACACAGATACTGGCCCATGAGGAAAAACGCAGAAGTCTCCTCCGGACCAATCTGGTCTATCCATTCCCGCGGGAGATCCACGCCATGTTTGGGGAATGACGCCTGCGGTGACTCGTATCCAACGGCATTAAACCAGGACATTGAGACCGAGATGGGAGTGTTGATCACCCGCTTTTCTTTGGGAATGGGCTCTGGCCAGTCTGCTTTCACTTGCAGGTGCACGCCGCGCGAGGCGTCTTGTGTGATGCGCACGCTTTTGTCAACTGTACCGCCATGCCGAATGAACCAGCTCACTAGCTCTGTATGGGCTGTTAGGCTTGGGTCGACTTCTCTGGGATTTTGTGTTAGATATGTGTATGAGCTTTGCGATATTGACGGAAATGACGTATCCATGGATACCCATAATTTCCAGCACTTACCCTGAGAGAGCTGCCATGTTTCAGGTCCAGAGATTGTGTCTGATTGACTTTGCTTCTCCCAACTATGTACCTATGGCTGTTAATCAGAAAGAAACCGCATCGACTTGGGTTGCCACCAGAAAAAGGATCGATGCGGGATGGTGGGGCCCGCTTTTTTTCTCCGTGGGAGATCGCCGTTCGGAGATCGAGTCACAGGAATAACAGGTTTACAGTCTACAGTCTACAGTCTACAGCACACTGTTCAAACGAAAGCATCAATTCGCTTCTCCGGACTCAACTATCGTACACAGGCGAATGCCAACTCAACTAGACAATCAAAAGCCATGGACTCGTAAGCCAATCCCAGATAGGGACCATGCGATACATGCACATAATGAAAACATCAGATCAGGAAGCTCTGCAGAACTTGAAGATCATTAGAATGCAGGTCCCCTCGGCTATCCCCATCAAAAGTGTATATACAAACGCCATGTCGTCACGGCTACTCTTGTGAAAATCCCTAGACTCGGTTTCACCAGGTGAGATGTACCGTCACGACCACGCAATCAAATGCAAAAGAAAATCCCGTCTTAATTCGAAGTCGAAGACTTGCGGCCAGGAACCAAGATCTCTACAAGCCCATCATCCTCGCCATCACTGCTGTCGTTTTGCTCGTCATCGTAATGGGAGCTGACAGCCCGGGGTCGGCGGAAATTGTTGTACCGACCGGGCCCCGAGAGGTTAGAGTAACCCAGAGATTCATTGATGATGGCCTCGTCTTCATCGTCCGAGTCCATCATGCCGCTACTCGGTCCAACCATCTCTCCCATCTCGTCGTCATCGTCATCCTCGACTTCGAGGGGTACACGTACCTGGCGCCTCACAGACTCCGCGTGGCCATCGTTTTCGTCTTCAGATGAGTTGGTCGACAGCGAGTCTGGAGGGCTGAATCCCGACGTTGGGAAGGTAGGTGAATGTTTGGCATTGGCGGAACCAAAGTCACTGTGGGGGAACGCCGAGCTGCCTCCTTCGGCATCATCGTCTATTCCTGCAATTACGAATGGGTTGCTTGGCCAGTCTGAGTCTCGATTTTCACTTCCTCCGACCCCTCCGCCTTCACCGTCGCCCTCCATATTGTCGGGTGATTGCTGTTTTTGGGCGGCAAGGCGCGCAGCTAATTGACGGCGAGCCCGTGATGGACCAAGGCTCAGTGGAGCAGGTGGTGGGGGTAAGATAGGAATAGGTTGGCTTGCTGAACTTGTTGACACCTAATGGAAGATCACGTTAGTAGAGGAACGATAGCCTGGGAAGTTTGCCAGCTCGCGAGTTGCGATCAACTTGATTTGGGGCACAAAGAACGGATGGATGATTCAAAAGAGAACAATGCGTAAGGGACAAGACAGAAGATGTTTTCCGAACTTCCATAAGCTGGAATTTGCAAGCTGTCGTCGCCAGATAACCAACAGCAACACAAATCCCAGTCAGAAAGGCGGAAATTACATTGAGGGAGGGGATGTAACCAAAGGACCACGAAGCGTGCAGGAGATCGACGGCTCTATCCATTGAAGAAGCGCTAGCAATCAAGCACTCGTCCTAGATCTCTAGCTCGTTGCCTCCTGCTATCGTCTTTTGGGCCTCTGGTGTGCAGAGTACATTGAGACCATTGACCAGGACACATAAGAGAAAGATAAAAAGGGGACGACAACAAGGTGATCATGAATGCATAGCAACTGGGCATATAAAATCGATTATGTATCACGCATTGCAATACCAATCGAGAAACGGTTACCCACATTGTCAGTATCGCCTAGGTCAGCGTTTCCGGAGTCCCTGTCGTCCTGATCCTCCATTTCTTCATCCTCGTCATCGCTTGAGCTAGCAAAGCCACTCAAGAGGGAGGTGCCACCTCCAGTGAAGGATCCACCTGAGATGCCTCCCTGGTTGAGATCGAAGCTCTGGAAGGTTGAGCCACCAATTCCTCCGTTTAACCCTGCATCTGACAGAGCGTTGGAATTAGAAAAGCTCTGGGCAGAGTTGGTGTTGTTCAGACTAGACTGGCGGGACCCAACCGAAATATCAGGGCGAACACCGCCGAGAATGGCATTGTCACGCTCTCGAGTCTCGGACAAAGTCTGTTCAACGTACTCAATCCAGTCGGGATTCAAAACACTCTCCATAACGGATCGTGAAAGCAACTCAGGCGGGTGACGCTCGCTGAACTTGACAACTTCCTCTGCAACAAGAGTAAGATGGCCCATGTATCCAAGGCGGATTTGTTTGGTCCGCTGAGTCTCATCACTGCGCTTTTGTCCTTCAACAATCGCAGTGGTAATTTTTCCTATCTCAAATACATTGACTGCAAGAGCTCGGTTATAGCCACGCTCCATAGGCCCATTGAAGACTTGTTGAATCACATCGTAAACAACATTGTGGAGGAAATTATTCCATGGGAAACGGAAGAAGAAACCCTATCAATACATAGTCAGCATATGTGTTGAGGCATTCTTTGAAATGGGATACTAACCAAGATAGTTGGGACCACTTTGTTTTCTACGAACTGGATCTTCAAGTAATCACCAACCACAGGACGCCCGTCGGTGTCAATTTGGATATATTGTTCGACGGAGTCCTCGTCTCCTCCGTCGTTCAGGTTACTTTTTCCCTCGGTCTGCTCGTTGGCGGTAGATTTCTCTTCCGTTTGATTCGCAAGGCTCTGGTTTGAACCCGATGCCTGTTCGCTTGAGAACAAAGGAGCAGGGACATCTTGGGGAAGAGAAGTCACAGGCTCTCGGTCCTTCCCAGGCTTTTGCTGCTCCTCTTGTGGTGTGTTTTCGAGATTGATATTGCCAACTTGGTCAGGAAGACCAATGCTAGGCGACGAAGGGTCAATGGGGGCAGTGGAATTTTGAGGAGGATTTGTGGGTTCTTCGGAAGATGCTGGCTCCGCAGCTGTATTCTCTGTTGAAGGAATCTCGCGGATCGTTTCCGTTGGCTGTGAGATTGCAGTAGTCGTTGTGTCTGCGCTGGATTTCTCGTTCACCAAGACGCCGGATGCACCGACATCCTCAAACCCTTCTTCTTCGCCCATGTTTGGCGCTTCTGTGATCTTGATATCTTCTGGAGATTCAGGACCGAAGGCTGAATCGTTTGCGAAATCAGCCGTGTTATCATTATAGTCAATCCCAGAGTTCTCCTCTGGATGAGCGTGGAAGGCTCCTTCCCGAATCAACCGCTCACGCTCCTCATCTCTTTGCCTGACATACTCATCGCTGCCTGGTTCATTCAAGAGGCCCATATTACTACAGTGAAGTAGTTCTGCCATCAATTCACATGTTTTGAATCGGTCAAACCCAAGGGGCTCAATTTTACCGCCCCATGCAGAGCTCAACTTTCCTCGCTCAACAGTCTTGAGCTTATTTCCATCGTGAATAGTGTGTTGGGAACTTTGGATGAGAGCCATGAACTGGGGAATATGTTTGGCGAAAAGGCGAAGCAACGTTCCAAGATAGATTGGATCGTAAGTTGTAAGCATTGAATCAGGGCCACCAAGAGACTCTGGGTCGTAATCGGAATTATTCTTACGAATGACCTCGATGACGATACCAACGCCCACAGTCAGGGGGTTGCCACCCTTGAGCATAGCATCAATGAGCTGTTGCACGCACTGGGAAGAAACGAGCTGACGTGTCAAGCTGTTCGGGCCGATACATGACTGGTCGTTCGGGCTGGCATTTGCGGAGATGGTAATGATCGCTTTTAGGAAATCACCTGCGGATGTCTGAACAGGTGCCGGGCGATCGGGTGACAAGAAAGACAGGAGATTGGGTATCAGATCCTGTGATTTGAGCCAGTCGACGGTACCCTGGCCACCCTCTGCCTTCTCAAGACTGATAATCTTCAAAAGAAGATCCATGACCATCGGGTTATCAACATGCTGCAACAATGCCGGAACAATCCCATCGAGGGACTTGAGGAAACCCAACATCTCCTCGGTCTTTTTATCAAGCAGGGTTTCGTTTACTTTTGTGAAGTAGCTTGCCTGCAAAGAATCGAGCGGTGGGGATCGTCGTAGGAAGCCCCAGAAGTCTCGCAGATATGAAGGGTTTGCCATCATAGACTCAAGGATGGACCAAGTCTCAGACGAGAGAATTTCACACGCAATATAGGCATGCTTCAGCCGATTCTTCTCGAGCTTGTCCAGATCATCCGCGCCAAGAATATCTTTCAACGGATCTCTCTCCTTCTCTTCATCTATGTCCGTCTGCTCCGTCGTGGTAGCATCTTTATCCTTCTCTGAGACATTTTTCGCCTTGGTATCATCTTCGTCATCTTCTTCGTCATCAGTCACCAAGCTCGGTGCAGTGACATAGTCCATAAGCCGTTTCAAGACATGATCCTCGCGCAGGTATTCAATGAGTTTCGTATTAAGCTGTTTCAATTCTTGAATGATTTCAGCCTCCTCTAGAAGCTCCTCAAGAGTGACATCGGGTTTGTCGAGCAGGGTATCGATGGTGGAGATACTCGCATATCCCCCAAATCGCCAGAACATGATGGAGTATATAGGCGAGGGAAATGATTCATGAAATGGATTCGTATCGTTCGTCTCCGAGGTGTCGTAACGGAGCTATCTATGGTACAAAGAGCGATCGAGGAGATTGGGTTCTCAATGGAGGTTGCGCGACAGGCCGATACACCGGCAAGCGTGGAGTTCACACACAGAGTCCAAGGTCGCGCAGATCGAGTGGGGGGGTTATGCTTGACTGTCACAGCCAATAGATCACTGAAGCTAGAATCTCAAGTGATTCAAAGTCGAAGCGACCTGGCGCTGTGCGGATGGAGATCTGGTTAGCGATCAGATTCACGAGCTTGCCTCACCCGCCATCCCAATGATGCGTATCCGCGAAGCCAGCCGCCTTCGCCGGGAGGTAACATACGGAATTAGAGGGACTGGTCAGGGGGATTTTGGAGGGAGCTGATGAGGCAGAATCAGAGTCCTTAATGAGACCTACCTTCAATCTCAAGGGAGTGACAGAGAAAGAGCGAAATTAGAGGCTCCCTGTGGGTTTGGAGAGGGGAAGATGAAGAAACGGGGAGAGTGGAGTAAGTCAAAATGAGCAGACTCGAAGCACACGGGAATTGCGGCTCAACACCTGTCCATCAAGGAAGCAAGTTGAAGAGAGAAGAGTGAAGTTCCGCTTCGGGGGAAGCTGTGGTGATCGATTACCGATGATGACCCTAGAGAAGCAGGGGCGGAAAGCACACAGTATGTAATCACCGCGGGGATCAGACTTCGCAGATAAGAGTATGACTACGGATGGATGTGATTTGATCTGATTATATGTTAAGTGTCATGTCTACAACTATTTCTTCTTGAAATTTCCATCTCATGGCGTCAGCTGCATCCAGACAGTGGGTACTGGGTACAACCCTTCCCCGCCAGATTTGTGTGCTGAGGAAAGTAACGAATACTTTCGGTGTCCTGTCCCACGTCGTGGCCCAACATCGGTGTACATCACGGCCTCTAAATGCATGCATCCAGATCCCCAGCTGATACTCCATCATCTGAGAATTGCATCGACTACAACTGACACATCTCGAGAATCATAACACACCTCCCCACTAATATGAAACAGACTAAACTGGAGATAACACCGAACAGAGACTTTGTAACTTTGACAATCACGTGGAACCCGCGGCCTCAGGCCCCCACTGACGTTGCTCCGCATTAGGGATCAAATGCATGGCCACAGCTAGACCGAGCACTGAGTAGAAAATAATTCAAGATTGTCCCCCTGTATATTACTTTTGCCACCCTCTACGCTAAGCCCTCTGTCCCAGCTATCGGGTAACGACCCTCTCGGCCCACCGATCGCGGTTTTATTGAGCACTGGCCACGCGTGGTCTGGAATCGCTCCCCAAGTCCGCTGCCTATTTACCCTCACCTCCAACCGTGTTGATATACACCCCCAAACCCGCAACCATGAATCGACTATTTGGTGCAAAGAGCACGGCCCCCAAGCCAACTCTTGAAAGTGCGATTTCCAATGTATGATCCCCGCATAGACCTGATCAAATGCGCCCATCACAATCCCCCCTCCTCAAGGTACCCCACTAACCCTTGCACAGGTCGACACTCGAGTCTCCAGCATAGATGTCAAGCTCGCAGCGCTTAACTCCGAACTCTCTACCTACCAAGCGAAGATTGCCAAAATGCGCGATGGGCCTGGCAAGAATGCTCTCCGACAGAAAGCGCTCAAGGTCCTCCAGCGACGAAAACAATACGAGGCACAGCGAGATCAACTGTCCCAACAGTCCTGGAATATGGAGCAGGCGGGCATGATGCAGGATAATTTAAAGAACGTCATGACGACGGTGGATGCCATGAAGACGACGACCAAAGAACTTAAGAAACAGTACGGCAAGGTCGACGTGGATAAGATCGAACAGATGCAGGATGAGATGGCGGATCTGATGGAGGTCGGAAATGAGATTCAAGAGAGTATCTCTCGGGCCTATGATATCCCCGAGGATGTTGATGAGGCCGAGTTGGATGCGGAGCTTGAGGCGCTCGGTGAAGAATCCATGTTTGAGAGCAGCATGGGCGAGAGCGCCATGCCGAGCTTCTTACAGGATGAGGTGGCGCCGCCACAGTTTATTGATGAGCCGCCCGAGCAGCATAAAGTCAAGGAGGCTGCAGGCGGGCTTGGATGAGACTATGTTAAAGCGTGCTATTATCTAAAGATAACCCAGGTGTTCTTCTGTGCCATGCCACAGGCAACGGAGTTTATTGGTTTTTTTTTTTTTGAACTTGTATCAAGTTATGCTTATATCGTATTCGAAGCTCTCGTTTCATTCATGTCTCATATCATAGCGATTAGCCTAAGCATTATTTGGTTTCATCTAAGGGTGGAAGGGTGGTTGTTTTCGTCGTAATCGCGAACGTGCTCACTCTTCTTACCCAGATACAATTTCTTTTCCATCTTTCTTTTTAGCATCATGATGAAAGCCCAGAGATTAAGTTGCCTTCCCCATTCCCACTAGCACCAGTAAGGCCACATTCATCACAACGATGACAAGCCACACAGCGACTGCAACTACGGAAGTGAGTAGGTTGTTCCGCATTGGAACTGTCACCACATCAACTTCGCCTTCTCTGTCAGTAGCTTCTTCTGTCCGGACGGTCATATAGCGGTTAAGGCAAGTGAACCAGATGAGGGGCGCCGAGACAAATGGCAGAATAACACTCAAGACTACCTGACTCGCAGTCAAAGTCTTGTCAAGACCCTCCTTACCCACAGCCGCAGCGATGATGATGCTGGGAATGATACTGATAGATCGAGTGATGAGTCTTCGAAGCCAGGGTCGAATTGTCCAGTTCAGCATACCCTCGCTCACCATCTGACCAGCGATCGTACAGACGATGCCAGCAGAGATTCCGGACAATAGCAGTGCGAGAGCAAATACCAAGCCGGCAGCTGGTGCAATTGACTTGGAGAGTAGTTTGTGGATGCCAAAAAGGTCGGCGTTATCCTTTCCAGGGACATCATAGAGAGCAGCACCCGCAACAATGAGGATTGCGCTGTTCACAAACAGAGCAAATGTGAAGAGCGACAAAGACAGCTCTATGATCGAGTACTTCATACAACCTCGAATTGCATGGATTGACGGGCGATACTTTACCTCGCCATCGGCGTTCCCGAGAGGGACAGAGGTCTCCACATAACCAGAACTGACATCGAATTCCTTCAGACGAGATTGGACCACGCCGCTACCGAGGAATAGGGAGTGTGGCATCACAGTTGCGCCGAGGATCCCACAGCTTTGGTAGAGACTGCAAATTCGTTAGTGGCTGTCACTCTGAAGGCAGCCCAAGTGGCCTACACAACTTACCCTTCCGATTGAACTATAGCTGAAGATGGCAAATATCCGCGGAAGACTTCGCCAACTGACTGATCCTTGATGAGAGAAAGCTGAATGCAAAAGCAAACAACTACCCCCAAGACTAAACCCATGACGAAGAACTCGAACAGTCGAAGTCCCCACATGGCCCCATTGGGTCGATAGAAGATGAGAAGAAATAGAACATCCACTAATGTGATAGCACAGCCTGCTACCAAAGGGATGTTCAAAAGCAAGTTCAATGCGATCGCCGACCCCACCACCTTCAAAGGTACGTCAGTCTATCAATAAAAGATCCCTCAAATCACAACACGTACCTCTGCAATATCAGTGGCAATAATGGCCGATTCTGCTAGGAGATAGAGAAAATAGACTAGCCATTTTGGTAGATGCTCTCGGCAATTTTCGGCCAGATTCAGACCAGTCACAGAGCCCAGTTTGATACACAATGACTGCAGAAGAATGGCAAAGAGATTGGAGACAAGAACAATGAATAGCAAGGCGTACTTGAAGTCTGCACCGGCAGCGACATCGGTGGCGTAGTTTCCGGGGTCGATATAGGCAACTGCGATCAGGAAACCCGGACCAATAAAGCGGCTAAACTTGGCCAGAATCCGGGCACAGTGCAGAGACGAAGACCTTAAACAAGAAAAGAGAGGGCGAGGTGAATCGCTGCTCGGGGGTAAATCACCCGAGTCAGCAGCGATCACTTCGCTGGTGCTGATACCTTTCTGGGGGTCTCGATCCTGGCTGTTCGGTCTGTCGTCGATCGGTCCCGAGTCATCGCCCGCTGCATTTGCCGAGTTGGCATGCCTGCGATGGACTCGCGAATTGGCGATTCCGTTGAAATCATTGCGAGTAGTGGTGTCGGGACTAAATGGCGGTGGGCTCTGGTTCCAGCTCGGGTGCTGGAGAGTGTCGTCGTTCCGCGAGGGGCAGTTCATAGCTGCAGTCCTGAAGGCTTGGCTCCTTCAATCTCGACGCAGGGATTTACTTCAACTAGGTTGGATGGGAAACCGGCTCAGCTTTCAATATGAGCTCTGGATATTTTGGGATCTGCTTCGGTGAGGGTCTCAACCCCGATTTCTGTGATGTCGTTCAGGGAAACAAGAAACTTTATCACCATTACCTCGAGAGGCTGGCTCTCATTCGGAGTTCATGCACCATTCTCACATCCGTAGAGCTTCTTTCAGCCTCTGGTATTGCTTGCAGCTTTACATCTTGTTTCGTCTACGTTGTACAGAGTGATCGCCTTAATTCCCCAGTGTCGCAAACGGCTGCGGAATTCCACTGGAGCAGTACGGAGTACATCATAAACGGGCAACATTCCTTGTACATCAATGTATACGCAATCTGCATAAAATCCAGGCTGAAGATCTTCTTGAATGGCCCGGACTGCGTTATAGTCCGAGAAGCGATTCATCTTCAACGGGACTAGTCGGCAGCCAGTGACCTACTCTCGAGATAGGTCAGAAAGCAGAATAGTTCAAGATACCCTGTCAGAATGTGCGAACCAGGCCATTGCTTTTTCTCGCCGTACCATTCACATTGCAATCCATCAACGGAGCAATAGTGTCCACGATGTACAGACGCAGCAACCAAAGAGACCAAAGAGACCAAAGAGACTAAACAAACAAAGCTGCAAGGACTGTATGCATCAGCCGAAAGGAATAAATGGGCAATAATATGCAATATGACATGTCTAGCTCCGTAGGCACATCAATAGCAGGCTAATAACTGCTAATAAACCCAGGTTCACCGCCAGCTGCATGCGTTGCCCCTCGCAACCTCTTTACCCGCACGTTGTTTACTCCTCCACCTACGATCCAGCCAACCCCAAGGATCGTCTCATGCGCTAAGTCGAGGGAAGTGGATCAACATCTTGATACTCGATGACGGTTGCTGTTGGCAGCAAGTCACCGTGGATTCTTCAAATTCCCCAGCCTCTGCCCATCTGGATTCTTCTTTTTTTCCCTTTCCATAAGGCCTACAACCATCCCACTTTTTTTTCCCCTTGTTTTGCCTGTGTGCTTCAAATCTAGGGGGTTACAGTTGATTGTCGCCCTTTTTTGTGCCTGCGTTGGTCTGCTATCCTTTGTTTGCACAGATCCCGCGTAAGTCCAACCTGCAAGTACCCGTCTCCCCTCCCCCTCCCCAGGTGCCCTCCACTTCCAGCTGCTGACAAGATGCAGTTGCTGGTCAAAAGAGGATAGCGATGGCGGCGAGTACCTCTGGTCCGCAAATTTTTGACGATGCGAACCGATCACCTACCAAATCGTCCATGTTCCGGGCCATCATGTCATCGAGAACCCATAAACGAAATCAATCGGCCGACGATGCCCTGCCCCGGCCTCTGAGAAGCATACCAAGTGAGAATATCGCTTCCCCATTTGGAGGTCCTGGTCCCAGTCCCATCGCTGGCTACCGCCCGCTGACTGAGATTGAGCCCAACCGCGATGCGGGTGACAACGGGGTTTCCTCGCCGAAGATTGGCAGGGAACATCCGAAAGGCCCCTTGCATAAGAAGACTAAGAGTGCCGTTTCATTGAAGTCTCTGATGAGTTATATGGAGCGCAAGGATGGCAAACCGGAGGAGATGCCCGGGCGGAGTGAGGAGATATCACCCAAGAAGACCAAATCCTCCAATAGTCTGTCGGCCATACTCAAAAGATCTCAACGGGGAAGAAAAGACGGCTCCAAGCACAGTCGCGACAAAGAAAACCGCAGCCCGACTGACTTGATTGATAACATGCCATCCCCAGTCTGGTCACCGGACTCGGCATCAACGCACAAGGACTTGGTCGGTCGGTTGAGGACAAACTCGGCCGCCGAAATGAGACGAACCGTAGCAGATGAAGTCTCCCTTTATACACCCAAGGGCTACGGGCCCAGCCAGCAACGCAACTTCTATGACTACCACCAACCATCTCTCACCAAATCGGGTGAGCCCAAGCCTCGCCCAAGATCGGAAATCCTTGCAGGCAATCGCAAGGTGAAGGACCTACTTGGCTTGCAGCGCGCATCCTCAGGCGAAAGTGATCCCACTGGACGCTATGACGGCAGTTCTTATAAGAGCCGAGGGCCACCGAGTCCACGAAAGATATCTCCGCCTAGCACTGTGAAAGAGGAGCCCAAGCGGCTCTCGCGTGTACAGGCTGCCATCTCCGCATTCAATGCGAAGGAGCGGGATGCTGAACTGCAGCAACATTTGAATTCTAAGGACCTTGAAAGCGAGTTCGAGAAACTACTGGTTAGTGGACCCTGATATACAATGGCCTTGGATCGCGAAGCTGACCTATCACCAGGATGCGCGGGATATTCCCCACAACATGAGAGACAAGATGCGCTCTCTCGATACCAATATCAAGGCTGAATTTATTCAGAAGGATCGGACGGAGAACACCACTCCCCTTAGTACGGGAACTGGTGATAGCCGTCGAGGACGTGGCAAAGAAGCTAAGGAAGAATCCCAGCCTCAGGACCGTAAAGGCTCCCGGTCACGATCTAGAAGCCGCGGCTTCAGCCTCAAAGGCCCTTCGTCACCTGGCAAGAAATTGCGACGTGACAGTGAAGCTTCGAGTCGTCGCCCAAGGTCTGTGGATCTTTCCCAGCCTGTCGGCGTTTACACGACTCTCTCGGCCAATGTTTCAACAGCCTCGCTTGCCGAAGCAGCTGCTGTTGATACCGCGGCAGATCCTTCGGATTTTGTTCATTATCTGCGAGAGATTCAGAAGCCAGAAATGGTTGAAGTCGGCAAGGTGCACAAACTGCGTCTCCTGCTACGCAATGAAACCGTGCAGTGGGTCAATGACTTCATTACCGAAGGAGGTATGGATGAGATTGTACAGCTTCTCTACCGCATTATGAAGATGATCTGGCGGTATGTATCTTGCTTTCTTTTTTCATCCCACCAATATCTAACCATTCTATAGTGAGGACCATGAGGACACCCTGTTGCATGAGGCACTACTCTGCCTCAAGGCATTGTGCACTACATCTGTGGCCCTGACACACCTCACTGTTATTGAGGATGAGCTTTTCCCTGCATTGTTGCACATGCTCTTTGACGAAGAAAAGAAGGGCCCCAGTGAGTTTACCACCCGGGGGATCATTGCAAATCTACTGTTCACGCAGCTTTCCACTGCCCCTGCTGGCGATCTGGCGGCCAAGCGTGCCAGACAGATCCTGTCTTACCTCAAGGACCCTCCACCACCGGCGGAAAACCAGCCGCTGGCATTTATTGCCAATATTTATCAGTCACGACCATATAGAGTTTGGTGCAAAGAGGTCACCAACGTGACCAAAGAGGTGTTTTGGATTTTCCTACATCACCTCAATGTGATTCCTCTTCCCAAGAAGGAGGACTCCTTGGGTGAAAAGACATCAGCGGACACTCGTTCTTACAGCGAGCGACACTTCCCGCCCCCAAGGCCACCTGTCCCGGCTGCCCCATATGTTGGAGGTGTCGAATGGGATGCGACCAACTACCTCGCGGCGCATCTCGACCTCGTGAATGGCCTGATCGCCTCCCTGCCCACCCCAGATGAGCGAAACCAACTTCGTGATGAGCTCCGTTCTTCCGGTTTTGAGAAAGTCATGGGCAGTAGTCTGCGTACCTGCAAGGAGAAATTCTATTCCTCTGTCCATGATTGCCTGCGAACCTGGGTTGCTGCCGCCGCCGATGATGGCTGGCCCTATACCTTCGTGCGCGAAGGCCCGCCCCGAGCTGGCGAGCCTGGCTCACCTACTAAATCTATCAAGAAGTCCGCACCGGGTAGCCCCAAAAAGGGCCTGGTCGATGAGCGACCACCCAAGCTGGAGCTCGCTCTTGATTTTGCTGACAATCACCTAGCGCATGGTCCGATGACACCGTCGGGCGACCTACGCAGCTGGCTCTAGGAACCGGGCGCGCAACCCCCCAGTTCAAACTAACGAATTTCCTATTCTTCCCTTGTCTTTATTTCCTATCTTTTCCTTTTGGACTTTCCCACTATCATGACTCGGCGTTAGGGCTGGTCCTCAAGCAGCCTCTCTTTTATCTTGTTGGTATTTGTGTTTACTTGACCTTTGGAGTTGATCGATGGTATGTTATTTCTGGCCGGCGTTGGCATTCTTGGTGTTATTGGATGACTGCATTTCCTTGTCCAGAGAAGTCCTGCGGACATGATGTAATAAAGCCATATATTGGCACAGGCGACGGAGTAGAAAGCGAGGAAGAGACAGACTGTTGGGTTTTTTTCGCCCTGTTTCTCCCTCCATCTCTCCATGGTACAGCGACGCCTGTTCTTCCGACGGGATTTCTTCATGACAAATGACCTATGAACAGATATGAGAATTGAATGATTCGTCACTGGTTTCTTCTTTGTTTTCTGTCCTTGAATTTTATAAGATGTAGATCTGAGTAGGGAATTTAGTTACATATTGTACAAACCATTCATATCGCCAGTCGACATGACTACTGCGAACCCTCCCCAGACGTATTATCCTTCTGATCCCTCTTCAGGCCAGGAGGCGGCGGACTAGAAAACACAGCCCGAAGTCCAGAGAAAAAGCTCTCCCGAATCTGCAATATAAACCATTAGCCACCATGACACAACACCAGAATCCCAGCCCACTCACCCCATGGAACGGCGTATCATCCGTCTCCCACTCCATAAAGAGCACCGAATACACAATAACAACTATAAACGTCAGCATCCCCAGCACACCCCAACCATTCAAGCCCATCTCCCCCACTCACATCCAATAACAACCCACTGTCCCAGCGTAACAGCCTTTATAAACTTCGGCCGGGCATACTTCAGCGCCGCGCGACGCCGGTACTTGCGCTCAAGCCGGAACTGGTGTTTCTGCGACAACTTCGACATGTCCGGTGGCCATTGGCGCTTCGGCGGGTACTGGCTGTAGTAGACATCTTCCAGGGAGGGGCGGGAGTCGGTTTTGTTGGCGGAGAGGCGGAACGGAGAGTCTTGCGTTGCTGCGGTTCCTGTGAAGGCTGTGATCGGTGTGGTAGTGAAGAAGCGGGTTTTAGGGCTCTGCTGGTGCCGGCTTGTGTTAGTTTGGGATTCGGGGGGATTGGGGATCCTCGTAAACGGGTTTCTGGTTGCTTTGAGAGCTTGCGGAGGGACGTACGGGATTCCATGCTGGGCGCGTGATTAGCTTGGTGGCGGTTGCGATTGGGGTTGTGGGTGAGGCGCGCGCTGGTGAGGCGGCTGTTAATAAGTGGCGGATCATGGGGTTTGTCTGCTTGGGTTGTTGGGTTTGATCGTGGAGGAGGTATATTATTCACTCCGTTCTTGGGGGATGGAGGATGGTGGAGGATTGGGATGCTTGGGCGTGGTGTGGATTTGTGATCCCTTCATAGTACCACAAATGAAAGGTACTCACATCAAATCCTCTGATAGCTCAGCTGGAAGAGCGCAAGACTGTAACTGCTTAAGATCTCCGGATCATCTTGAGGTCCCTGGTTCGATCCCGGGTCAGAGGAATTTTTTGTCTTTTTGCTGTTTTTTGATTTCGCTATTCTTATAGTATTGAATGCTCTAGAAGTGACTTATTTTTTTATATGACATTATTTAACTGGTTATATCCGTTGTCAGAAGTGATATGTATGTCAATTTTGATAAACTCGTGGACGTGGTGATGCGGTTACCTTCGATGCTTGCAGTATATATCTGGATTCTGGGGTTCCAAAGCAAATTAACACACTTCCATAGATTAGACACGAAATGGCATATCTGATTCATGTAATTAGCATGCTAGCTTTGAGCAAGTCACGAATATTTAGGTCAGAATAACCTACGGCATGTCACCATGCAGATACGCTCAACGTGTGACAGGAACACACGAGGGAGTACTGATCGTCAAAGTAGCAAGGCGAGGGGATTTAAGATACTCGAAGTCAAAGACCCGATAGTAAACATATAATTGCCGAATACCCGAGCCTAATAAGTCTGAGCAGGCAGTGTATGTAGAGCAAAGAGGACATGGGCCCAGATATATCATAGAGCCCAAGAAGAGTATTCCCACCAGGACCACAACGGACCAACCAGTAGTGAGACCACGGGATTCGAGTAATATCCATGACTCTGATAGAGTTCCAATAGATAAATAGGGCGTGGAAGCATGGGAGAATGGAATGGCCACGGATCCAACCCGGGGCCACGAGCAGTCAGCGCATTAGCCCGGAGGAAACGAACGTCGGTCATTATCCGTGAAGACTGCCTGTCTTGTGCGGGGGTATTGTCACACCAGAGTCGTCTTGTCTATGTCAACCAGAGAGGCCCGCAATTCCTTCGCATCATGTCCAGAATAGGCCATATCCTCTAAGCCCACAATGACCACCGGTCAGTTGTATCGCACCAATTCGAAAGTAGAAACTCACCGCGCTGACAAGCCTGACATCCATCAGCAGTCGAAATGATGCCATCGTCATACGATGAGTTTCCTCCGCGTGTCAACCTCCTTGAACTGTTGGCTCAGAATCCGCTTCCCCAGCTCGCTCCCGGATTGGTAGATCCGACTTCAATGACCGGTGATGAGCCCAACAAACAAGCCCGGACTGCATTGAATAACTTGAACGCCGCGATAGCCCACAATGATGTGGAGGCGCTGGCCAACTGCTTCTTGGAACACCAGGCATACTGGAAGGATCAGTTGGCACTTACCTACCATTTGCGGACATTCAAAACATGCGGAGTAATTGCCTCAAGCTTGCTCGAGACCAACAAGCTGAGAACCATCAAAGGGAACATAGAAATTGACGGCGAGGCGATATTCTCCCCAGCGACGCCAGTTCTTGTAAGCAAGTGATTCACTGGAGATTTGCGGAGAGGAGATTGTCGAGGCATAGCTGATTCTTCGTACACAGCAATTCATTGACTGTGGAATTGCATTCGAGACCATGTCACCGGCCGCTACATGCAGAGGGAAAGTTGTACTCCTACCAATCAAAGGCGCCAACAAGAAAATTGAATGGAAGATATGGGTCCTGAGCACAATTCTCAAAGAACTTCATCTGCAGCCGGAAGATGAGATGTTGCTTCGCTCCCCTGGAAGAGAGCTTAGGGGAATCGAGCGCTTTGAAACCGAGGTCTTCATAATCGGGGGTGGGAACGCGTAAGAGGACGAGAAAGTCCCTGCGAGATGGATTATACTAACATCTCACTTGATGGGCATAGCGCCATTACCCTCGCGGCCCGCCTCAAAGCTCTGGGGGTTGAGAGTGTTATGGCAGAGCGAAATGCCCAGGTAGGAGACAATTGGGCTCTCCGCTATGATAGCTTGCGATTCCACATCTCCATATCAGTCTGCCACCTGCCTTATATGAGTAAGTTGTTTTGTTCGTACCAGGGCTCTATCTAGCCTGAGCGTGCAAAACCACTGACAGGAAAATTAGACTACGACAAGAAGCTTCTGGCTCCCCACCGTCTTTCGAGAGATGAGTTGGCTTCACATGTACGACAGTATGTGAAAACGTTCAACCTCAATATGATCACTTCAGCACACATCCAGTCAACGGAGTATGACTTGCCAACCAAGCAGTGGACTGTCAAGTTCCGGACTCCCGCTGGTCAACACATCGCAACTTCTAAGCACATCGTCATGGCTACAGGCATTGGCTCCCAAAAATGGAACATACCGCGAATAGCAGATGATAACCTGTACAAAGGGATCAACATCCATTCGGTGCAGTACAGGAATGCCGAGCAGTTGAAGGAAAAGGGAGTGAAGGTGAGTGACGCTCCAGTCCCCAACAAATGGGGACCAAGAATAACCACATGACTTTCAATCTAGTCTGTTTTGATCATTGGCTCTGCTAATACTGCCTTCGATGTCCTCGAGGACTGTCATGCCGCAGGACTCCAAACAACAATGAACGTCCGCTCTCCAACATACATTATCCCACTGGATTATGTCTGTAGTCCAGCCAGCCTGGGCGCCTATGATGCGGGCGTCGAGCTCGCTGATGACCTCTTCATGACGCTCCCAACAGTTATAGATGCCCAACTCATGCGTAATGTGTTTGCAAATTTCGCATCGCAGGAGCCAGATCGATACAAAGCACTAGCAGCGACTGGATTCCCCGTGCTGGACAGCAATAGCCCAGGAATTACTTTGATGCAGAACCTCCTTGAGCGTGCCGGTGGACACTATGTCGATGTGGGCGGAACCAAGGTCCTAGAAGAAGGTAAGGCTGGTATCAAGGCCAATGTCGAGCCTGTTGCATACACAGCGACAGGACTGCGGTTTTCAGATGGTAGTCATCTCGATGCAGATGCGATCATATGGTGCACGGGATTTGCCGATAAGAATGTGCGCGTGACTGCCGCTGGAATCCTGGGAGGAGACTATTCGACTGACGCTCCCAATGATGCTCGCCATGATGCGAGCAGTATGAACGAGACCAAAGGGATGCAGAAGCTCGGCCCTCGTGAGATTGCGGCCCGCATCGACGCTACGTGGGGTCTTGATTTAGAGGGAGAGGTCCGTGGCATGTGGAAGAGGCAGTCGCGTCTTGATAATTTCTGGGTGATGGGCGGTTATGCGCAGCTACATCGATGGCATTCACGCACATTGGCACTTCAGATCAAGGCTGCGCTGGAGGGTGTTCTGCCCCCTGCGTATATGGATACGCCCTCATCGGCCAAGTTAAGGTCATCGAATTCAACTATATGATCATCACGTTGCCAGGAGGCCTTGACCAAATGAAGAAGTGTTGACGGTTATGAACTATTTATATGTTTATCAATTAGGTACATACACAGATTGCTCCGCTGATATCAACGCAATTATGTGAACCTCAACCAATCAAATCCTCTGATAGCTCAGCTGGAAGAGCGCAAGACTGTAACTGCTTAAGATCTTCGGATCATCTTGAGGTCCCTGGTTCGATCCCGGGTCAGAGGAATTTTTTTGTCTTCTCGCCAACCGCTCCTTGGTTGATAATGGCAGTGAATGTTATACATTTTTATTCACCATTTCAAGGTGCTCATTCATCCTAATCCGGGGTCAATGAAGTAAGGAGGTGTTTGGTGGCTTTTTTTAACTGCAGGAACGGAGTAGGAATCTATGCTCTGCACAAAAGCTTCCATTGATAGGTACATTTGGGCAATGGGATCAATTACTACATACTTTGAGTAGGCTGACAGAATATGTAAAAACGCTGGATCGGGGGTTTGGTACCTTCAATTCACTATTTCTATGCATCGTTCGGAGTCATCTAGACCTCTTGACTACCAATTGTAACCGAGCCCAAGCCGCTTCAACGTGAGATGGAACATCAACATGAGTGATAAAGCCCCGACCCTGGGGACCATAGCCATCTTTATCATCTCTCAGCCTCGGGATTTCCCCAATAATCAATTCCAAGAAGCGACTGTGTGACCACAACTGCAACGACGCTGAGATACCAGAGTATTCGAGGCCTTTGTTATGTGACCATTGCACCACCGGCACGAAAACGGGGCAACTGATAATACAGACCGAAGATTGCACATCGTCATAGGCCTTCTCAAATGAAGCCCTGGTCCTGAGCATCATTGTAGGATCTTGGATGACAATACACTTGGCTGGTGTCTGCAACCCCGCTTCATCTAGGACAGCACGAGAAAATGCAGCATTTTGCCCACAATTTGTAGATCGAGACTCAAGGAGAATCTGGCATCCTTCCTTTGTGATAAGTGATCGATCAAAGAACTCATCCAAGATCCGTTCGAGCACACTGGCTTCGGGAAGGCCGTAGATCTCATCGGCAATCCGTGAAAATACTGGGTGTGATTTCACTGCATCGTACAGGAGTTCAGTCGAATGCCCGATGCCTCCACATAGGACAAGGGCTTTGGTAAGAGTTGGTCTTTGTTGCAGGATTCTAAACAAGATCTCGGCGCTGTAGAGAACGGCCGAGGCGCAGATAACTATGCAATCAACGGGGGTGCTGGTGGGCAGATCTTGTAATTGGTTGTTGCTGAGGAACTCAGATAGCAGATTGATATCCGTGATCGTTTGGGCATTGACGGTCATCATGTTGGATCTATGGATCTGTGATTTGACAAGAAGCCACGATGAACACTGGAGCAAGAATAGGTGGAAAGGGGTTGGATTGAAGGTTATCTCGAGGCTGATAACATTCCAAGGGAATACGGGAAGCGGATGAAGTATAAAATGAGTTTCCGGGAACAAACTTAACTCCTCGGCAACAAACCTAAAATCAAGAATTTTCCATTGAGAAAAAAAGAAGACCTCGTGTTGCCCAATATAAGCTTATGCCAAAAAGGCCGGAAATGAATGACCAAAAGACAAAAAATTCCTCTGACCCGGGATCGAACCAGGGACCTCAAGATGATCCGAAGATCTTAAGCAGTTACAGTCTTGCGCTCTTCCAGCTGAGCTATCAGAGGATTTGATGTGAGTACCTTTCATTTGTGGCACTATGAAGGCATCAACTAAGGGGGAGGGAAAGAACCCAAGGATACATGTATAGTCTAGAGTGAACTACTTGGACTTGAGTATAGTATAGGTAGGGAGTACTGAGATAGGCTATGCAATACTTACTGACCAACTGCTGAATAATATGTGATCACACCTGGGTGTTGATCCGCGCACCCCAAAAAGTCACGTTTTTCACCCCATTATATAATCGATTTTTTACATAATTTGTAAGTTCGGGAAAAACAGGGCAAATATCACATGATTGTCAACCCCATCTATCAATCTGATATCGATCTCTATAGCAACCCATTATTTACAAGATCTATTTAAACCCTCTCCCCCCCAGATCTCTCTCTCTCTCTCTCTCCCCCGCACCCCAGATCTTGATCTCTCTCTCTGCACCCCACATCTCTGATTTCCATCATTTTACCAATCATTCTCATCAAAATGACTGATATCAACCCCACTACCAGCCCCATTACTGAGTCTACCAGTGAGCTTATTCCTAGATCTACCCCAGATCTCCCTCAGTTTCCAGATATACCAAGATCTCAGATATACCAAGATCTCAGATCTACCCCAGATCTCTCTCAGTTTGATCTCACTTTGGCATCAATTTATACTAATTAGGTAATAAATAGTGCAACTACTCCCCCCCCCGGAAGCGGTATACGATACCCGCGAGGAGCTAGTCGAAATAGTGCAAAAACATGCAATTTCTCAGGGTTATTGTACTGCTATAAAACGCAGTACTACCGGTAGAAATCTGACTATCCAATATGTCAAATCAGGCACCCCAAAATGGTCCACAAAGCCCCCAATCGGGCCAAAACCTCGCCATACTAGCTCAAAACGGCAAGACTGCCCTTTTAGGCTTTATGGAAATGCCCAAAATAGCAAATGGCACCTCCAAATCCGGAATCCAGATCATAATCATACCGCTAATGATCCAATAGGCTATCATTAATCTCGGAAGTTTACCCAAGATCAGATTGATAAGATCAAAGAGCTATCTAATATAGCTATACCCCCGCAAAAGATCATCTAAATAATCCAGTCTCCTACCTCCCAGCCAATCAAGGGGCGCGATATTTACAATCAGATCTCTCGATTTGCACGCCAAGAGAGGGGTCTTCGATCAGAAACTGAGTTTTTATTTAATCAACTTAATAAAAAAGGGTATAAGTATAAATATAAACTCTCATCTAATAATAAGATAGAGTTTCTCGCACTAGCCTACTCTAATATAATCGAACTAGCTAACAAATATAATAGGGTTTTTATACTAGATTATATATATAAGACAAATAAATACCAAATGCCTCTTTTAGAGGCAGTTAGTATCACGCCGACTAATTAGAGCTTCCTATTTACTACCTATTTTATGCGTTATAAGCAAATAGAGGGCTATTATTAGGCTATAGAGGCATTATTCTAAGAATAGGTAAGCTTACTACTAAATATAGTGCTTATTACTAATCGAGATCTTACTTTTTTAGGTACTATCGACTCTCTATTTCCTAATTTACCCTATTTACTCTATATTTAGCATATTAATAAGGCTATATTAGTAAGAGCTAAAACCCTTATTACTACTATAGCTGATCCACACTCAAATAATCCAAAAAACGCCTAATTTCAGGACTTTATACGATAATAGCGTGATTTATACTAATCTTATATATCTAATAAGTATAATTTAAGGTTAAATAACCTTAAATTATAGTTTAAATTATATCCTTCCTTAATTTCCTATCTTTATAAAACTTAGCTAATATATAAATAGAAATTTATCCGATATTTGATTATTAATATTACCTATTTTAGTAATTTAGTATTATCACGGTCCGAAGAGATATATTTATAGCTAAAAAAGCATATAAATAGTCTAAATAGGGATCTTTTAATAGTTTTTACAGTAATTAATACTATTATTATATTAAGGTAACTGTTTGTTAAGGCAGTACTTATTAACTAGGTAAATAATGATACGAGAGGGATACGTAGTTAGAACGAAGGGTATTCGATTCTATATTAGTTCTAAGACTGAATCTTGCCTTCCCTTTCCCTATAGGTGTCTTCCTTTTATGATTTAGGTTCCCCGCTTCTCGGGACCGGATTATATTAGTTCTATCCCGATATCGTAGGGTATTCGGAGGGGTCTCCTCCGTCTAAGAGAAAGGGAGCCTAAGGCAAAATAGTATAATAAAGAAATACCGTAATAACTATCCCCCCTTCTCTATAAAACCCGTCCTAGGGTTTTAGGTTAAATAAAGGGAAGTATAAGTTATAAGATAAGAAGGGTTCCTATCGAGTTTATTCCTTTCTCTATTTTATAGAGCCTCGTTAGTATAGCCGTAGTAGTAGCTAACGGGCGGGATACTAGCGATCTAATACCGGAACTAGAACTAGTCTAGTGCTTAGGCTACTTACGTTCTAACTTAAAGTCCTTTAATACTACCGAAGGGGAGGTTTTCTCTATCTTTTATCGGTATAATATAATCGCGTCTATCTTTTATAAGCGATATTATATAGATAAGAAGACTTATAATATAGTACGTTTTCGGGCTTTTATCGTAATAGATCCGTACTTATCCTATATAGGTACCTATTAGTATAATAAGAGATACTTAGGATTTTTCTACTATCTTAAAATTTTTAAAGGTTCTCTTAGATAATAAAATAAAGTTATTAGAGTAGATCTATATAAAAGTCGCTAAGAGTTCGTATAATTTAGCTTAGGCGTTTAACGCGGCGGTTATTAGTTACTATTTATATTAGAATTTAGTAGGTACGAAGAAAATATAAGCTATAAGTATTTTATAGCCGTTTCGTTAACGATTCGTCTTCTAATAATAGTCTAGCTATTTTAGGCGAATTATAATAAGTTTATAAACGGTCGTTAGGCCGATATATAGACTATACTTAATAGTCGTAGTTTAACTCTATTAGATTAGGGTAGACTTTTAAGTCTACTTCTTAGGGATATAGGATATACTTATTAGACTATTACGAAATAGAGGTATTTAGAGTCTATTTCTAATACTTTTATAGCTATATTTAAGGAAGCTATAGGAACGATCTTATTTAATACTTTCGGGATTAATAAGTATAGGAGGTTCGTGACTTATTCTCCTTAATAAAAGGGAAGGTACTATATATATAGTTCCTTCCTTATAATAAAGGTAGCCTAGAATAAAAGAGGAATTTATTTTAATTTTCTAACTATAATCTTTTCTTTCTTTATATTATTTCGTTATTATTTATATATAGTTCCTTATATATTTCGTAGGTAATTCCCTTATATCTTATCGTCTTATCTTTTATAAGTCCTATTTATTTCTATAGGAACCTTCCTTTATTATAGCGTAAGATTATAGTTACGGTTATAGTTATAGTTAGGGTTATAGTTAGGGTCGTAGTATAATTCCTATTAACGACCTACCTATAGATCTATCTATACCCTCTTCTCCTTTAGCTACTTCTAAGATAGTATCTAAGGTTCGTAACTATTCCGATATAGATCCGCTATCGACTCCTCCTCGTATAGGTCCTATTAGGACTACTTATCGTACTCGAAACTCTAATTCTTCTACGCGCCTAAAACGAAATCGTCTTATTCGATATCGCTTAAATTAGTACGTTACCTATTTATATATAGCTAAGAAGAAGTAGGTTACCGACGAACCCCTTAAGGTTAAGTATAAATCTAAGGCTATTAATTCTATCTCTTATTAGTATTATATAGAGAAACGATAGGTATATAACTCGGTATAGATTCGTTCACCTTTCTTATTAGTATTAGACCCTAATTATATAGGTTCCGAGTAGTATTACCGGTAACGCTATAGATCTAACTTTAATTATCGAATAGTCTACCTAATTTTTCGAAAAGCTAGAGGATCGCCCCGACTATATAGAATAAGATAGGGTTAATAGGTCCCGATTTTTCTATAGGCCTACTATCTAGGCTATTATTAAGAGTAGGATCCGTAGGTTAATCTCCGACTTTTCTACGTTAATCTATAGTTATCGAGCTACTTATAGTTTCCCCCTATCTCGAAAGAAGACTCCTATCGTAAGTATTACCTTCTCCTTTTTAGGTATATTTCCTTAACGAATCGGTAGGATATCGCTAACGCTTATAAATAGTTCCTCTCTTCTTAAGGTCTAACCCCTTTACCTCGCCCTAGTCTTTTAGCTATACTAGCCGAGTAGAAGGCCTACGACGTTTCTATTCGCTACTTTATCTACTATAGGGATTCGGGATATACCTCGTAGAACGCCGCGAAGTATTCGTTTATCGGGGATTTAATAATAGCGATTATTATAAGTAGTTAAGATACCGATATAAGCCCTATACTTTCTCTTAGTATCTAGGCTAGCTTTCTAATTATACTAGATATACTATAGATTTATTATATATTTAGTATAGTTTCTAGAATTATTCTATTTTCTCGTTTTTAAAGGTTATTTCTTCTATAATATCTTAGAGGTATTTCGATAGTAAAATAGGCTCATTTCGATCTAGATTTATTATCTTTTTTTTATTAATAGGGTATTAAATTTAACTATATACTTTAAGCTTTCTT